GGTGGCTGCGGCCGCCAGCGAAACTACGCAAGTCGTGGAGAATTTCGCGAGACTCTACACGGCACTGCGCCACGATGATGCTAGGCCTCTCTGTCGTTACTGCGGCAGAAGCTACTCGTCGCCGAGCAACCTTCGGCAACACGTGAAAAATGTCCACTCGAATTGGCCGCCGCCGGAGACGTGGCCGCAGTGCAACGTGTGCGGGAAACGATGCAAGACCAAGCATTACCTGATCAATCATCAGCTACAGGCGCATGGGATACATCAACGGCCCAGCCTGAACAATCCCAGTCAACAACCGAAGCAGCACCAGTCACCCTCTTCGTCCTCCTTGTTGCCATGAGTACGGTCCTCCTCGTCTGCCGTCGTAACGTCGTTGAAAAATGACCACGGGAAACCATGTTCCGCGATCAGATGAAGTTGGGAGTCGTTACGCGATGCTCGTCGATGCGAAGTGGCCCTAATTTTTCGAATAACGGTTCCTTTGGTCCGGGCTGTCTTTTCGATTCTGAACTTTCGCTGTTACGGTTTTAGGAATCAATCTACTTTGTTCGAATTATCGACGCGTTTCTATGAAACAAAGCAAAAATCCAGATTATGGTTTAGCACTCGAGGACATAGTAGACTTCCTCGATTTTTCGATAGCGAATTTTCAAGTTCCCAAATCTTGCAGCTTTGGAAATTTGCAGATTTGCTCGAAATAGCAGACTTCGTTCGAAGGAAGCCTACTGTATGTCGATAGAGAAAGTTAAAATGATCTCACGTGACGACCGAGGTGTGGCCGCTCGTATCGACGAGCTCACGCAAAGATTCCTATTTTCTCTGTTCAACGATGGCGGACAGACGATTGCCTCGAGAACGACCCGGGTAAACGAGAAATCTTCGGACTCTAGGACGTACCGAGACCCAGACTAATGTTCCATAATCACGACATCATCGTGCAAGCAAGTATGAGAAACAGTCGCGACATTTTCTGGGCACGTTCTAACGCATGGCACGAATAATCGAGAATCGATCGATCGCGTGTTAACCGGCGGACATTTTATTTATTGTAATAACGAAACGTTTACACAGCTCCGCCACCTTCGAGCCAACGTGTGCCTCGTTTAGCCTTAGATGACTATCCGGGGAGAACGTGTTCAACCCTACCCCGCACAGAGACACAGACGCTTCCGTAATAATCTGGCACGTGAGATTCTGTCCGGACACGTTCGAACATCTCCCTTCAGTATTCGATTTACGCGATGATTGCGCGAATTCCATACAGTCCTGTCTGCCAATTGCGCGCACGATATCCGAACACGGGTAGAGAGAGCAATTAGCGATTCCGTCAGATACCGGTATAACCGGGTAACCATTTGCGGGGATGTTACCTCCTCTAGATATTCCGCAGGTACAGTCTGTTTAAAATAATGATCGCTACTATTTTAACCCTCGAACGGACTCGTGATCTGCAGCTTTTCATTTTCAATATAAACTGTATTATAGTTAGACAAATTTGGAAACGATTTTATATATTGACGAGTTGTATGAAACGGAAGTGGCATACAATCGAATTTAATTCGGGAACGGTCTTAATTGAAAGACGAATGTGACTGACACAGCGGACGTATCACAAGTCATAAATTTCCCATTGTAAATATATTTAACAAGGCAAATATACGCACCGGAAGTACACATTGTATGGGAATATCAGGTATTTCGGAGTTGCTTAATTTAACGATTTTCACGAGGCACGAGGATCGACAGTCACGGAACTGTCGATTTATCCCGTTTGCTGACAATAATCGTCATCCGCGATAATACAAATCTTGCTACTATATAACATACTGGATCAAAATGACCCGACATTTGGAGGGTTAAATTCACAGGATCCGCGATGTATCACGTCACCCTGTATCGCTACGCGCTAAATTGCTATGCATTGTACCACTGCGCGCTGCATTTCCGCGCGTTAAATCAACGCGGGACCATTTCTCGAACATAGCGAATAAATTCGAATTAACTGTGACACATCGCGAAATATTCGGGGTTTTTCGAAAGAGAAAGATTTGGGTAGAAAATTTTGAGGCCTATATGAAACAGACTGTACCAGAAGGAAACGGAGAGGGCAACGCATTGGGTACACTGTGTTTTTATTAGGGGTTGGGTTGGGTTTTATGGTGGTGGTGGCTGGTGGTAACGTTGGTGTGGTGGTGGTTGCAGATCACGGGCTCGATGAGGCAGAGGGCGCGGCTTACCACCACCACCACAGCCATCACCAGCAACATCATCGGCATCGTCATCATCATCCACTATCCGTTCCTCCTCCTCACCATCATCATCAGGCGCTACAGGAAGACGAGCAACAGCAGCAACAGCAACAAGACCAGTCGTCGACCACCGCTACCACCACGAACAACACAACCTCGACCAAGTATCAACGGAGTCCGGCGGACTTCAGACAGCAGAAGATGATACGTGATCACCATCAACAGCACGGTTATAGGTGTCCTCTTTGTTGTAGGACCTTGCAGGACATCAGCACTATGAGAGCTCACTTGGAGCACCATTATCCTCGTGACTCGCCCACCTGTCCCGTTGCCTCTTGCGCGAAAACCTTCTCTCACCCTAACAGCGTTAGGAACCATATGCGGCTCAAGCATCCGGTACAGTGGGATCAGATTAAGACGCTCAGATGGACCTACGTCTGATAAAGAGGCAATGGGTCGTTGCTGGGTACCTCTGTGGGTTAGGGTTGGACACGTTTACAAATCATTGAAACTTCCGTATCTTTCTGTTGTAGTTTAGTTGATGGCACAGAATTACGATGCAAAGAAATTAAGTTAAGGCTATCGGATCTGTGATAATTTGAGTAATTCGAATATTAGTGTATTTGAATTCGAATACGCTATTTTGAATGTTAGTCGCATCACCCAGTGATCTAATTCTAATCAGACATTGGAAATTCACCATTTGAGTATTTATGTTTTAGTTTTAGTATAACATCCCGAATATTCGAATTATCCCTGAACTATTCCATTTTAGATACCTCTTTTATTTTGTATCAAGAATGTTATTTTATACCAAGAATTAAAAGATTTGGTTGTAAAGTCAGTAATATTTGTGTTTGAAGTTCGAACGGAAATTTTTAATCAAACACTTTTTGTTTCTTTGAGTCGTCATTCGATGCTGTCCAATAAGTTCGTTTTCCGTTTCCCAATTTCTCTGTCGCCTATCGATTGCACGCGACTCGATATATCGTTTCTCGGATACGGTGTAGGTTGCGTCGCAGCGAGAAGGTCTCGCGTGCCAGAGTCTATAAACGTTCGAAGGGTTGTAATACGCGAAATTACGTGCTGGTTGAATTGTAAGTATACCACCACGATGTGACGAGGGGTCAAAGATTGTCTATTAGTGCTTTATTCTCGAGAACGTCGCACAAACCCACCTCTCTTCCTGAGGATGTAATGTACCCACTGAGAAGCGCACATTTTGTAAATATTCGGGAGATTATATTGCAGAAAAAAGAAAGAGGATATATATTATATATATAAATATAAATATAGAGAGAGTATATATATACATATGAAGAGTAAATCTATATATATATATATAGATACAAAAAGAGAGAGAAAGTTGATTTTGTATAAAAAAATAATGTACGAAGCAGTATTTCTAGTAGAGCCTGAGAAAAAGAAGAAAACCGTAGTCACACCAATAGTGATTGTGTAATGATAAGAGGTCGTTGATTATAAGACTTCGATGATGTTGACGATAATTGACGATTAGGTTACGTATCTTAAACAAGAGAAAACAATGTTCCTCTAAGCTGAGTAAGCCAGCCTTACGTTAAAGAGCGTAGTTTGTAAGAGCGTAGACGGGAGCCGAGAAAAAGTGTGTTTAGTTATGGAAAAAGAAATGTAAGTAGTTGAGTTTAAAGCAGAACGAAACGTGTAAACGGAAGGAACGACGTTGTTCGTCGAGACTAACTTTTGCGATGCTTCCGTAAATCGTTATCAGAAGATGTGCGACGCAATACGAATATTATACGTATATTTAACACGTTACACACACACACGTACACACAACACACCTTGTAGAGAAATACATTTAATGGCAGACATGCGCGCGAGCGAACGTTGAAAAATGGTCGACCAGCACACGATGAATAGTCGATTCGAAACAACGCCTAGCCTTATTTTTCTACAGTCTTCTGTTTTCGTCAGTATTCCCTAGGTAAAGAATATTCCCCGTTACAAGTTAAGTTTCACGACACACGATGTGCACTCGGGTGCAAGGCTTCCTTTGGATAAAGATTAATGTAGGGGTAGAAGTTTCTCAATTTTTAGAAATCAGGAACATAAACTTGAAACATACAAATTTTCAAATTCACAAATTATTTCCAAATCTAATCCCTATACTCCAAAATGCCCAATGTTTCTAAATTTGCAAATTATCAGTTTCCTTAATTTCTAAATTTTTCCACCCAAAATTGAACAAGTGGCGAGACTTCTGTCCCCTACGATCTTATCTGGGGAAGCCAATGCCCCAGTGTGCGATAGTTACTAGAGAATACGCTGCGAATAAATACGAAAAAATATATGAATACGAATATATATTATATATTCGAGTGCACGAGTTGTTGGTTGCGGAAGTGGTTGCAGGAAAACTATCACCGTTTACTCTCCATATTCCGGCGTTAATTTACAAGTAAATCATCTTATACCATATAAAAATGTCAGTAAAGTCACTTTCACGATCGACAGCTCGTGCCGGACAATGTATAGAGCATCATACGCACTATTTTAGCAGACACTAGCATACTTAAGATTATACATAAAACACACGAAATGAAGTATATATATACTATTTAAGTAATGCTTTGTACAATAAAACGTATTCAAAGAAGCTGTAGTGGTATCCATCCATGTGACCTTTAGTTATTTTCAGGAGATCCTTGTTGCTTTATTCTTTGAGTTGATCTTTAATTTGTTTGAACCGTATCTCTTATATTTCCGCTAGTATTTTGTTGCCCACCGATCGCAGACAGCAGACAACCAAACGCGAGACACATCTTCATCAGCCTTTTGTTTATCTCTCTTTTTCAGCAGCCCGACGCGGTTTGGACATGCTGCGAGTACGCGCCACAGATCCACGACCCTGCCCGAAGTGCGGTAAGATCTATCGATCTGCCCACACGTTGCGCACCCACCTGGAAGATAAGCACACGATCTGTCCGGGCTATCGTTGCGTGTTGTGCGGAACCGTGGCCAAGTCGAGGAACTCGTTGCACTCCCACATGTCCCGACAGCATCGAGGCATCAGCACCAAGGATCTGCCGGTGCTGCCGATGCCGAGTCCGTTCGATCCCGAGTTGGCGTCGCGTCTGCTGGCCAAGGCGGGTGTCAAGGTGAGCCCCGCGGAGTTGCGAGCCCGGGCCAGTCCCACGGGGCCCAGACGAGGTGACATGAGACTGGAGATACCTCGAGGAGGAGCACCGTCCGAGGCAGGCAGCAGCGTGTGCGGCGGGGACGATCCCGAGGACCTCACGTTACCGTTGAGCCTCAGGTACGGTTCACCCACGCCCAACAACAATACTGTGATCACCAAAGTGAGCGGCAGTAACAGCAGCAGCAGTAACAAGAACTCGACCGCTACCGCGATAGCCGCCAAATCTTTGGACACGATGCACGGCAGTCGCGAGCCAAACACGGCGCCTCTTCATCCACCCGGACACCTGCATCCGAGCCACCATAACACCAGCGCCACCGGATCAGCCATCTTGGATACCTATCTACAGTTCATCGCGGAGAATTCTGGACTGACGACGATGGGACTCAGTCCGGAACAAGCTGCCGCGGTCGCAGCCGCTCATGCGGCTAAAATGGCGCACATGAGCGCGATGGACAAGCTGGGTGGACGCGGGATCGAGGATTACCCGATGATCGGACGAGACGAAGGCCGAGGACCAGGCGTGGTGCACGAGGATCGCCAGGACCTGCTGCAGGACAGGCACGGTGGCTTGATGGACGAGGGCGAGTCATCCGGCGGCGAGGAGGACGACTTCAGCGACACCGAGGAGCCGGAAATCGTGAAAGCCGAATAAACGCCGGGAACCTGTAACCCTGAAGAGTTCGTGACACGTGACCCGATTAGAAGAAGTGCTTCGAGACGTGCCCGAGTTCCGGGCGTTGTCTCTGTTCACAGTCAAATCCATCCACTACCTCAGTAGAGACTTACTCCTGTTTTCTTTTGTCGCGAGAGAGATACAGTTTTCCAAAGAAGAAAGAAGACGACGATGCGAATCGCACGGTACGTTTGGTCGCGTCCACGCCGATTTCCTGAGAAATCGGTCGGCGAATGAGAATCCCTCCTTTGCGCCGCGCTCAAGAAACGTGTAGCTTTCGTTGTCTCTTATGTCAGCACGTACACACTCGACATACATACACACTCGACACGATACATACACACACTCACGCGTGTACACATATTTAACCCCGTTGTAATATTCCATCTGTCTACCTCAAGTGAACAACACGATCAAACGATATAGTGAATAATTACGATTAACGAATCTCATTGACATTTTTTACCAAGTTTTCTCTTCAAGAGCCTCGAACGAGAGAAAGAGAACAGAACCGAGAAGCCAGGTAACGCCAGGGCAACTGTTTATTCTTTTTATTTTCTAAAGGTTTAAAGAGATGACGGTGAGCATCGCGAGCACGCGACTCCCGTGAAGATATTATTATTATATTATATTATTATTATTATATTATTATTATTATTATTATATATGAATGTTGAGGAAAATATATATTATCTAGATTTATAGAGAAGTTACTGTACCACGACAAGTACGTACACACGGGGGCAACGTAGGCTTCCATTTGACATAGGACGAATGTAGGGGGAGGAACATCTAAAGTTACGTACCTCAAATTCGTAAACTTTCTCATCCCACAATTTTCAAAGACCTTAACTTCATAAGTTGCAAAGTTTCCAAGTTTCCAAATTTTTTAAGTTTCCTAAATTCGCAAATTCCCAAATCTCTAGAGTTCTCAGCTTGAAAATCCATCAGCCTAAAAATGATAGAATCTTTTCCCTACGTCGCCATTTTCCTTGTGGAAGCCTATTATGCTCACCGGGATACACGAATACACGCGAAGAGAGAGAGAAACCACACGCATTGTATTTATCGAGTAGAATGGATACGTATAGCGCTAGGGTTAGCACATCCCTTAATTATATTTTTTAGACGCGTGCACTTTAAAACTACACGGCAATTAGGTACATAATACACGTATAAACACACATTTGTACACAAACGGAGGACACAGGAATAGGAATATAAAGAAGACACGTATGATCGTGTATCTTCCGATGATCGCGAAGGTCATCGAGATTGTTAATTGTCTACTCGTTTTATCGTAGGTAAAAAAGGCGGGAACGACGCGAAGGCGATTCATCCCTCGTTTGGCGAACGATAAATCTCTCGAGCGATGAAAATCTTCTGTTTCTTCGAAGGAAACGGATTTAGTAATTAAAAGCGAATTGAATTTGAATCGCGTGATATATTTATCAAGCGTTATACGAGGGGATGTTTTTAGCCGATGTTGCAAACGAAACAGGCGAAATGGCGCGCGAATTCAAGGAGAACTCTTGCAGTTCCCTTTCGTCTCACGGTCCTCCCAATTTTTTGTTTTTGTTTACTTAATCGGCCTCGAAATGCACTCAAGGGCTTGCCATGACTTTCTAGTACTTAAGTTTTCGACATGGACGTTGTTTTCCCTTCGGCCCGTGGACGAAATCTCCTTAGATGGCTCGTGTATCGTAGAGGAAGAGAAACGGTGGAACGGGAATCATCGGCGCCTTTTTATTTTCGTTCGTTCCCTTCGGAAACATTTGTTCTTCCGCATCGAGCGCGCCGTTAGCTCTGACTCATCTCCCTCCGCATCGCGTTATTTATAAATCGTTATTGTTTTTCTTCGATCGAATTACAAATTTGTCCCCTCGCGAGATTCTCGTTCCTCGAGGAAAAAGCAGAGGCACGAGTTTCTTGTTTATCTTTTACACGATTCGAATTCGTAATTGCGCGCGCGATTTCGTGTCCAGGCTCGAGTGTAATCTTAAAATGGTTCCTACTAATGAATATGCATACACGAGCTACTTTGATTTACGATATACCTTGATATAGATATATCTATATATATATTTAGAACATGTATGCATGTATATAGGTACGTATATATACATACATACATACACGTATACCTAATTTAGATACGCCTAGAGAAAAGAGAACTTAGCAATACGGTAGTAACGCGGCGCGGTTTGAACGAAGAAATTTCTTCCGTTTCGTATTCTCCATTATTATTATCATTATTATTATTATTTGTTTTTATCCTTTTGGTTCTTACGAGTGTGCGTGTAAGGCAGAGAGTGACAGCGAGCAAATGAGAGAGAATCGATTAAATGGCTGACGACTTAACGATGATGAATCTTAACGATAAACCCTTTCTTCATCAGGTGTTAGACTATTTCGCCTAGATTAGTAGGTTGTACACAATACTCGGAGTATACTAACCCCCCTTTTGTCTCTAGCCTGTAAGGGAATTTTACTCGATGGAAAGGAAAATAACGGACAGGGACTCTCAGTGATTTTGCTGATCACTGACACACGCGGCACGACGATATATTCGTGAAAACTTGCTTCGTGTAACTCGTGCGAGACGATACGTCCAAAATAAAGTTACGTGAAGATTCGACGAATCGAAGAGTAAAAGACCGTGGATCGCGCGTGGATCGAGGAGGAATTTTCGTCGGCGACGGAAAACTCACCCCTTTAGAGATTTTAACGAACGGTAATTTCTTCGAGACAATAAAATTGTACGAACGCGTTGAAAGCATAGTAGACACGTTTGTAGACGCGTTGTATAATCGAAATTACCGCGACGTTGAAGGGTGAGCTCGATCGCTGACCCGCGAGCTTTCTCGAATTTTTTAAAACTTTATATCGTATGTGTACATATGAAAGGGTAATTGTATACGATCGGAACACTTGTATACGAATCGTCTCGAAAATCACAGCAAGCTTGAAACGGAGCACGTGATTTTCTCGGACGCTTGTTAAAATTTTGGAATCGTTCCTCGAGTTCTCGTCGCGGATCCACGGGTTCGAATGCTTCGTTTTAGGGGAAAGAATGCGAGAATCGATCGTGACGCGAATCCGGATCTGATCGGTACAAAGAAACCACTTCTTGCCTTGAAAATGCTCTCTATAAATGTTATACGGATCGGGTGATCGTGTCGCGAGACAAAAGTTCAAAAAAAAAAATAGAACAAAGGGAAAATCGGAGAAAAGAGCAAAATTTTTCATAGAGTACAAATTTATCCGCGGTGAATCTTGAAAGATCGAGGGATGAAGCTTGAGAAAAGAGTAAAAAGTTCGATTAGTTCTCTTTGCGTCGTCGCGAACGAGCTTCAAAGACTTTTCCTTTGTCGTTTTATTTTTTCTTCTTTTTCTCGCCACGGTAAGAGTGTGTCTCCCGTCATGAAATCCCATGACGATCAACGCGGGTTGATCGGTCGAGCGTGCAAAGTTGATGGAAACCCAACAGTGATCTCGTCGATAGACTTTCTTCGCCGTTTTTTTTTTCTTTATTTTTCTGTACTTCTTTTTTTAACGAATAGAGGAGCGACAGTTTCATTAACCGTCGCGTGATATACATATGTTACACGTACACACACGCACACACACGCACACACACGTATACAGAAACACATCGATCGCAAAACACTCATTACATACGCGTTTTAAGCAAGAATATATAACATAGTTACAAGGTTGACGGGGTGCGTTCGTATCTCCCCTCAAAGTGACAGATTTAACCCCTCCCCTCAGATCATAGTTTTCTACGACAGTATTTATATAGTTATTATATATATATATGTATGTATACAAACAGATGAATATATGTATATACGAGATGTACATATACAACGTATTTTTACACGAATGTTTCAGCGACAGCACCCCGTCATCCCCTATGGGGATTGTGTCCCCACGATGAATGATAGTCCGTTGAACATAGTTCGCAATAGTCACTTGGAATAGAATACCACCAACTACAGTATTGCAATAGTTGTTAGAAAGACAATCGTGTGCGTAGCCATTCAACGCTCCCCTCGATTATGCTTCCATCTTATAGCGAACATTTCAAATTTTTACTCTTCAAAGATTAATAAGACATTTCTTGTAGAATCAAATATTCTCTTCTGTCTCATTTCATTGCTACATACATATATTCACTATAGAGTCTCGCTATATGGCCAATGCAAATTGAAATTTTATATATTTGTAACTTTTTAATTAAACACTGTAAATTTACGCATTTGAGGTTAGAACGCAAGGAAAATGTTTGACAAACGAACCTAAACGTCGAGGATGAAATGTCCGCGATTTGAAGGGAGTAGAATCGAAAGAAAGGCAGAAGAATGCACGATAGAACTGGTCGGCGATAAGTGTAGTGGTGAACGCGGCTCTCGGTAGAACAGTAAACGACCAGTGTGTTGTCGGAGCTCGTAAAGGCTGAATCGTACGAGTGCACACTCGTTCGTGCGTGGTTTTACGGTGATTATAAAGGCGGATTAACGACGCCGTAAACGCAGCAAGCCTTTCACGAATTGTCTGGCAGACAGCTTTCGAGCGTTGTGTCCTTGGGGTGAATGCAAATAAGCACCCTGGTCGAGGGGTGCGTCTTAACTCGATGAAACCTCTTTTTTCTCTTTATTGAAAACGGAAATATAGCTCTGATGGAATCACAAATTTTGAAGTCTCGTTTCAACGAGAATATTAACGCTACACTGAATATAACCGCGTAAAATGATACATTTTAACCGGGAATTATTAAGGAGTATCCTCATTCGGGTTTACTTTTTCGTACATATTTGTTTCCATTCGCAATTAAATTTTCCGTTAATTAAGCTATTACGCGGTGCTTGCAGCGCATTGCTTTTAATGGCTTCTGCAATTCTGCATTCGAAATAAAATGTCAAAGTTGTGGTTATCATCCTGTAATAGAGTATCCATTTTGTAATAAAAGAAATTTGAGTTACATAAACGAATATCGATAAGTTCGTGTAATATCAACGTGTTAACCGAGAGCTGTCGCAAATGCATTTCAAACAAAAAACAGAATAAAAGACTGCCTATGGTCAATAGCAAACAACGATCTTCCATTAAACCGTCAACGACCCAGTTCCATCGTGATTCTAAAAAATCGTCAGAAATTTTGTAAAAATAGGGAGCGTGTTGCCATCTCAGGTACTCGAACACGATTTAATAATGCATTATATAAATGTAATAACAAACTCAGGAAATCTGAAGCAGCCAGGCCGTGATACTATACTTATAGAAACTACTACTACTACTGCTACTACTACTACTACTACAGGTGTGATTCTTGCGTTAATCAGGCGCTCAGGTGATTTGCGAGCCAGCGTCTATATTCTGTTTTGTTTCGTTTGTTTGTTTGTTTCTTGTTTGTTACGAGATTTTACACTGGCAAGTGGCAAGGCGTGTGCACACCGTGTTCACGTGTATCGGCGTGTGATCGAAATCGGATCGAGCTTTCACCGAGATTAATCGACACTTTGATGGACGCATTTCATACAATCTATGACTTTTATTTTATTTAAACTATAATTACGTAAACTATTGCCAGAAATATACGCTGGCGACTATCAAAGTGTTAAATTCTGGTATAAAATCATCAAGAATATCGAATATCAAATGAATCCGACGAGAACCGCTATCACGTGGATGCGAAAAAGGGAAAAAGAGAAATAATTGTGAAAATCACCACAGCTACCTCCATGTTATTAAATATCAGTCTTCTTCTCGCGCTATACTCACGCTCATGTTTTACCGAAAGTTTTCTACGACGTTCCGAACGTCGATCGCCCCGTAACGTCTCCGTATCGTGTATATATTATATACATAATAATATATGTATACACAACGTTTACACATAGTCAGAAGCGCGAGAGATAAATATATAGCTTCCACGGATTATATAGGTTTAAGAATTTGCCTCCTTGCGCGGAACAGTCGAGTCTGCGAATTACAGTAAAAATGCAAATAGTCGAATGCCTACGAGAGACAATGAGAAATTTGCGGACACTCGAACACTCTGCTGTAAATAATCTTGTATCTTTTATGTATCGAACGTTGACTCTGTACTTTATAAATTTTAATTTCTATAAGTCCACTTATCTTTCTCCATTTCTTGTTCCTTGAATTTTTAGTTCCATAAATTCAGTAACATCTAGTTTCCATAATATCTTATTCCTCAAGCTGTCCAAACTTCTCAAATATGTAATTTCATATGAAACTTGTAATTTCATACGCGAATTTCGACAGCAGAGTGTCTGAGGGTCCGATCGCCACATCGAAAGAAAGAGCAAAATACAATAGAGCTACCTCAGTTATACGGTGGATTAGTGAACGAAATAGTGGACGAATTAATTCACTGCCAAACACTCGAGACTGTTCCGCGAGCGACATGTGCTGAATTCCAAAATCACAATGCAATACGTTGTACTTACTGTCGTTTTTAACGCGTTGACTCGATATATACCGGTTAGTGATTTTACTGCTGCATCGAGAGAGATAAATTTTGTTTTTTTTTTCGCGTAAGCGTGTTCCGTGTGATGATGCATTACGATGTACGTCGTGTGAAAGATCGTGAGAATGTTAAGTGTAAGAATGTCGAAAAATCAGGTGTGTTTGTGGAATAAAGATGTTCGGATGGCCTCCTATTATACGCATATAATTATATATATATTATTATTAGAAAGTGAGAAAAAAGAGAAAAAATATAAAATATACCTATCTACGTGATATTTTACAGAGAACATAATCAGGGATGCGTCGTAACCATAGGCATATATATATATTATATAATAGAGTCTTTCTAGTGATAGAAACCATAAACTCCTAACTTATTTTGTAATTCACGATCCGAGGAAACACGGTCGCGTGGCGAAACCAATGAGCGTGCAATCTCTCGACGTACGGTGTGACTTCATTTTTAAATTTTACTCCCAAGAAGAAATTAGCGAAAGAATAAAGTAACAATCGTCGATGTACGATTGACTTATGATTTTTAATAACGGAGGAAACTCGATGAAACATTATTAAAGTTCGAGACGACGATCTTCAGGGAACATCGAATTTTCTTTCGTCCTCTTTTTCGTTCGTTCGTTCGATGGCTATCGTTAATTACTTCGGAGACGATGCCGCGAGAAAGGCTAATTAATTTTACCCTGCCTCGATCAACTGCGCGATCGTCGCCCTGAATTTTCTCTCTTAACGATACTATTATTGTAAATGTCCGTCAAATACAGCTTGATGATTTTATCGTGGATTCCTCTGTTTTACAGCGCGAGTTCGGGATGTGCGGGATTTTGAGGTTAGGGGGTATTAGAAATTAGACGGAATTAGAAATTTAAGGGGTGGAACGAGTTTGAAAGTTGGTAAGTGGGGAATTTGAATATTTGGAGATTTATGAGGGGATTTGAGGATTTAGAAATTTGGGAGGCTAGGGATTTGGGAAGTTGAGGATCTGGAAATTTGAGAGGGTGGGAATTTAGGAAGCTGAGGATATGGAAAGTTAAGAATTCGAAAATTTGGGAATTGGAAATTTGGGGGTTTAGAAATTTGGGAGGGTAGGGATTTGGGAAGCTGAGGATTTGGAAGCTTGGAAATTTGAAAATTTGGGAATTTGGGGGTTTAGAAATTTGAGAGGGTAGGGATTTGGGAAGCTGAGAATTTGGAAGTTTTGGAATTAGAAAATTTGGGGATTTGGGGCTTTAGAAATTTGGGAGGATAGGGATTTGGTAAGCTGAGAATTTGGAAATTTAGGAATTGGAAAGTGTGGGAATTTGGGGATTTAGAAATTTGGGAGTGTAAGGATTTGGAAAGCTGGGAATTCGGAAGATTTGGAATTCGAAAATTTGGAAATTTGGGGATTTAGAAATTTGGGAATGCAGGGATTTGGAAAGCTGGGAATTTGAAAATTGAGGAATTCGAAAATTTAGAAATTTGGGGGTTTAGAAATTTGGGAGGGTAGGAATTTGGGGAGCTGAGAATTCAGAAATTTAGGAATTGGAAAATTTGAGAATTGTACCTTCCGGAAATTAGGAACTTGGCGATCTGAAAATTATGAACTCAGGAATTTAGAAATTTGAGAACATAGTTATTTCAGAACTTGAGACCTCAAAAATATACATTCCTAAAAATTTACAAATTCTTAAACTCGAAACTCGAAAAATCTAAAAAAAATCCCCAAAAAGGCCCATCTAGGGTCCCCATCCGCACATCCCTGTCACCCGATGAGCAAAGTGATATAAATACCGTCTCGATGTTTATCGATTCGCTTGTAATATCGTTTATCGTCGATCGTGGCCATTATCGTATCGTTGGCCGATGACGGCGTAGTTTTGCACTATTGATCGTATAGAATGAGAATAAAAAGCGAGCGAGCGAACGAAAGGCGAGAAAAGAATAACGAAGCGTGAAAGTTTAGCATATCCGATAGCTGCGTTTCGATTTTGTTTGAAGAAAAGAGAGAAAAAGTGACGGCCATTATTTTTCGTCCACTCATCGGCCTCGTCATCGGGACACACATCTCGTTCTTTACTTTTTACGGTTAACTATCATTAAGGTGCTTCAATATTGTTACGTTTTTTTCCTTTTTTTTATTACCGCCATTTTAAGATTAATGTTATTATTATCATTATCATTTTCATTATTATTAGCTTCGATAGAGGGATATGTACGTCTGTCTCCTGGCAGAGAATCGAATTCTGTGAGACGAGCTTATGTTTGTATCTTTGGCCAGATAATTGTAATTCGAAACGAGAGAAAGAGAATCTTACGCTTGAATTTGTCTTTTTTTTTATTTCATTTTTGATCCTTCTTGCCAACGAGACAGAGGCAAATCTTTACTGTACGTGAACGAGCCAGTATGTCAGATATATTTCCTTTCTCAATTTTGCGTTTCTCTTCCTTTCCCCTCTTTGTTTGTAAATATCTTATATATTTATCTATTGTTCCCAGGTTAATCCTTCCCTTCCTTTTTAATAATCCTTATACTCTTCTTCCTCCTCGCACGTAAATACGTTACTTTATGTTCTTTACGTTACTTTTTTTGCCATTCTTAGCATGTAAGCCATCCAACTTGCCAATACGATTACAATAAATATGTTTAGAAAGAAGAGAAATTGTTATTGCGTTTAGTTTACGCCCTTTTATTTCAGTTCCTTCTGTTCTCGTTCTCGGAGTAAGTATGTGTGTGTGTCTGCTTTTGAGGCACGGTAAGTCTCTCATGTAAATATCACACGATACACATTCACACGTATGCAGTACTTTTTGACTCATGTTTGAATGTAGCAATAACACTTTGACAATGACCATGTATAGTCATTTTTTTAATTTTAGTCATCGAAGACATGGGCCAATGTTCATAACAGTCGAGGCCTTTATAAAATCAATCAATCGAAGACACGAACTGAGTTCATAACAAATACACAATTTTTTTAATTTCTCGAGTTATAAACAACAAGTAGTTTGAAACACTACTAATACTATTTTAATTTGCTACGATACTCCAATTTGCTATGTTGCTTAGTTAATTTTTGGATGTAAAATCACGCCGTACGTCGACAGCCATTCGCAAGTAATCAAGGATTCACCCATCTGCAATCGAATCCCAATTAAAGTACAAAATTCTCCGTAAACTAGATTTGTATGCGTGCAAACGAGCGCAGAATGACGAAACCGCTAAAATACCGGAGAATCACGCTAAAGAAACAAAGGTGAAGCAAAGAACGGTTTCGAAGAGAACGATTCGAGAGGATACGGATTTTGTTACGTTGAAAAGCGATTCACGCGTAACCGATGAGCTCGGTGAACGTGTAGCGAATGCGTTTTATCGCCGTTTATTATTTATCGAGGCCTGGCCGTGTCGAGAAATAATGGATCGTACCGGAAATTGCCTCTAATACGTTCGAGAGCGTGAAACGGACGCGAAATCGTGCAAGCACACGCTTCGAAGGGGACAAAACATGGAGTGATAGATACGCGTTTATGCGAAAGAAAAATATAGTAATAATCTTAGCCAGATTATTTGCGTAACGTTCGTGTCCACTGTGCGTGTCCATTTTGATCACGACATCGACTAGGAAGGTGAATTTCGATCGTAAAGTAGGAAACTCGTCGACCAGGCTATAAATTATACCCTTTGTCTTTTATTGCGGCTCGTTTCGTCGTCGTGGTCGTTACACGAAATACGTATTGCTGCTCATCTTGGAAATATTCGGTTATTAACATATTCCATTTTTACGTTTCTAATAATGAACGGTGATCAATTCAAATTAATTCTATGGCCGGATCATTAGGAATAAAAATTCTCCCTTGAGGAAATTAAATTCACTCATTGGCGTAACTAGTGAGCTCCGCAGTACAAGAGAACATCTACAGAAAATTTCTGCACTGCAATTTGCAAATTTGAGCTTTTGTAAATTTTCTTACCTGAGTCCCAGTTACGCCAATAAGTGTGTTACAAAAAAATAGCGCGACGCTGTCAGCCGCAGCCAGCAATAGTGTTAGAGTGACAGCGGCAATCGATCGAACGGAATAACGCCTCGCGTAAAGAGCGTTTAAAGCGTAACCAGCCTCGAGAGAAGCGGAATTTAGGGTCGAGGAGCGGATTCGAGGATTCGAAGCAAAGCAGAGAGAAAAGCTCCGCTTTAATACGGATGCGCGCGACGTTTTCATCGATTCGACGTCGCGTATTTCACGAGCTAGCGTTTCCTCATCGTGAAAACGCGTCGCCTCGCGAACAGCCTAAGCGATCTTTTCACGGAGTCGACTTTCGTTTGATCAACGAGACGGTTTCTGTAACGAACCACTGGAACAAGACGAATCAGCGGAAGTCTTTTATTACCTGCTGGTCACGGAACTTCCTCTCGCGATCGTCCTCGAGGAATTCAAAGATTTCTTGCATTGCGTTGCTCGGTGCCTTCTTACGGCCTGTTTGTACGCAAATTGCAATATCTGTTCGTCCGTTTTAACAGGGTTCTTTTGCACCTCCATTTTTTTACTCTTGGAAAAACTGTCACACGAGAATATCGAGATATATCAGTTTGTATTTTATACAAAACATTTGCAAGGTGATTAGACATCGAGGATACAGGAATTATTTTTTAGAGTTTCAAATTGTGTTAACGTTTCAAAGTTTGTCTAGGTATAAATATGTTTAAGACCCTGAGATTTTTAAAGGACGAATTAAGTACATCAGGCGATCACAGTTCCTATTTTGCTCCCAGCAAATTTTAATATAAGGCACTATGTGTGAGTGGAAAAGAAAGAATATATCTGGTTAAGGTACGACTATACGATAGAATAATATTGTACGTACATTGTAACGAGAATCTACGGTATGTTAAAATAAACTATAGTATATATATGTATACACAGTGCGAACACACGATTAATAACGTAAATCGTATTTTATAACAGGAAGTATCACGAAATCGCCCGATGCGAATCTTCCCTGATGCAGGGTTCGACCGAGTCCTTCGGCATTGGAAGAGATCATTTAAGGTTGTAAATGTTACTTGGAGTTATACGATTGTTGATATCCGTAATGTCTGCTATTCGTAGAAGCGTACGAGTTTTTTATTTACCTTTTGTTAAGTATCTTGTTCGTGTAGCTCGTTAGGTTGACCTTTGTATATATGGGAATTGTAGCAAGACTATAATAAAATC